TTTCTTGTTTTCAGCAAGAGGTATCAGGATGAATCTTGCAAAAAACAATAAAAATATTTTAGAAAAAAGAATTAAATATATCTTTAGAAAAGGTACACAATGCAAATAATGCTAAATAGTTATACAGCATCTGGAAAACCCATACTAATGACCATCAAGTTGCATAATCCAGATATCTGTGCTTCTAATCTCTAAAGTTCACCTATCAAAATGATAGCTCACAGGCCCTATCATCGAGAACAAGATGGAGTATATGGAATTCTTTATGTTCACAATCAAACGGTAAAACTGTAAACAAATTGTTCGACCTTGTATTCGCAACTTGGTCATATTGACAGGAAGGCCTTGAGGAACGCACATTGTCCAAAGATCCTAGTATCTACGATAATTTCCAGTCGGACCGTAAACTTGGTATATTCCCAAACGTTTCGCCGGCATCGTAGTTGGCATCGCTACTAAGCTTTGCCATTCTTAGCATCACAACTCGGCAAAAACCGCACCAAGTCCACTGTCTGACTGGAAATTATCATGCATACTATGGGCTCCGGACAAGGTGAATTCCTATAGGTCTTCCTGCCAATATAACCAAGTTGCGAAAACAAGGTCAAACAACTTCTATACAACGAAAGGGTACCGCGACCATACAAAACGCTACACCATCCTGGTCTTCATAGCTTCGAACAAAATTTTAATTTTTTTTATTAACAAGAAGCCATATTCGAGATAATGCCTGATTAGGCTCCAGAATTGTGCAAACTAAACTTCATATCATAAAAAAGGTTTTGCAAAATAACGAAACAAATAGTTTGGTTACGGAAAACCTAACTAAAGTTAACTTCATTCCGAAATAAGCTATAGAAGTTAATAAAGCAAAATCAAGATCATTTACCAAAGATTCAGGTTCCTCCATGGAGAAGCCATTACTATGTGTTGGGGCATATTCTTTTTTCTTAGTACTCATTTCATTTTCAGGTACTGCATTATCTATCTTCTCATATGGAGACATAGCTGAACCGGAATTGGCGGGTCCAGCAAAGATATCTGTGTCGGCCATCTTAAAAAAATAGAAAATAACGAATACATAAATGAATGTTTAAATAAGAACTGTATTTACACTATTTTGCTTAAGGTAATAAGAACTGGTAGTTGAATTTTTTTACAATCTTAAGAGTAGATCTCACGATAACATTAAATTTTCCTTATACTTGCTTCTAAAAAGGTATTCTTATTCAAACCTGATCGGACTGCAGTTCCAACCTCGTCTCGTCGCAAAAGCGAATAAGCCTATTGAATATTATTTTTATGGGTCAGGTTTTGTCAACTAAGATAAGGACCCTGAGCCATGCCGAATAAATTTGATATAAAATATCTACTAAACAAGACCCTTGTCATCGAATATAATTAAATAAGTGACTGGTGGAAAGGGTCGAAAAGTTTAAACTAATACAAATCTTGAAAGAGAAAATTTAACCAGTATTTAATTTGCAGAAGCCTAAGTATGCGATCTGACATGCACTTTAGCATCAAATAAATAACTGTAGATAGAGATAGGTTTAAGAGTAGCAAATAAAAATTAGTGCACTTTCTCTAGTTCTAAAGCTTCCAGACAAAGAGAACTAATGATAAGCCAGAATTAGTGAAAGATGATACAATGACATTAATAGGAGATCATTGGCATCAGCCATAATAGGATTAATGAAAAATTGACGATTCTGCCGAAGCCCTTCTCATAATACCTGACTAGTATCCTTAATACTAGAGGAATCTATTTCACACAAACTATTTTCTCTCACACACAAGCCACTCATCTCATCGGTGCATCTGTTCCTTGTGGTAGCCCTAAGTTGCACACTAGTTCGGCTCTTCTTATTCCATCCTTCACGACTCCGCTACAGCGCAACCAGCAAAAAGCTCATGTAAAAACGAAATATTTTTCTTTATCACCAATTAATTTGATGTTCCCTCCTGATTCCATAAACCCTCTACCCTGATTGCATTCTAATAGTGAACTCTCAGTTCCAGATCATGTACAACAAGTTTAGAATCATGTGATCAAAGAGATAAACAAAACGTTAGGCATTGCGTAATAAAAGTAACTGTAAAATAATTAGAAAGTTCGTAGAGGTTTTCAGTCTATTTGACAATAATCTAAAATATTTGTTAGCCCGCCCTCCTGGATAAGTATTCTCAACCAGAATTCGTCTTAGCCTCCTCAGATCCTGGTCCCGATGTTAAACAGCTGACAGACGTAGGCTCCTTATTATCATAGACATCATAACTTCTACTTCAACCGCATAAGTGTGGTTGAAGAAGAAATTCAAAAGGAAACCTGCATTTGTGGCAAATTATTTTACTATTCAGCAACATGGAAAAGAAAAACTGGAGATTTTTTTGGGTTTGATGAACAGGATCGATGGGAAGACGAAATTAACAATCGAATTAGACAAGGAAGGTGATTTACCTTTTCTTGATGTCCTAGTTAGCAAAGGGGATCCGATTAGGTCGAGGTGTGCACAAATACAGGTTTCCTTTTGAATTTCTTCTCCAACCATCCTTATGAGGTTAAAGTAGGAATTAGGAAGTCTGTAATAATAGGGAGCCTGCGTCTGGCAGATGTTAAACATCGGGATCAGGAAGTGAGGAGACTAAAGCGAATTCGACTATTTGTATAGAAGAGACTGCGACCACACAAAAGGCCACACCATCTTGGCCTTCATACCTACGACTATTTGTGTTTGAACGTCCTTATTTTCTACTTACTTAATTCCACTCAATACATCCTACAAAATTAATATCACTTGGCGGACAAAAGTCCAGATGGTTAGCCAGGCTGGGGCTACACGAAAGTGTCGAGAAGGACAAGCAAAATGTATCAGAGGTTCAGGCCAGCGGCCCACCGGTGCAAGGTGGAGGTAGTCGGTCAATAAAGCGATCGTGTGTAGCTTAGATACTGGAAGACGACCCACCGTATGCTCAACATCAGCTTGCACCACAAAAAAGGAGCCTCGACGAGTCGGTACATGTGACTCATTGACACCAGTAGGAATGGGAGGTGAGGCAGAAGCATCGGAGTCCAAATCAGCCTCGAATGGACCAGCAGGTTGAGAGTTAGATTGGAGAACCGAGAAGGCTGTTGAACTGACAAGATCATTCACTTCAGAAGAGGGTGGAGATAGAGATATCGAGGGAGACAAAACTCCGTTGAGACCAGGAGCAATCGCTCGGGCATCAGATTGACATCGAGGAGGTGGCGGAGGAGGCAATGACTGCTGAGAGATCGGCAGGCCATATCTAAGAAAACGAAGTCGGAGCTTGCGGATCCTAGAGGCTTCCGAAGAAATCCCAGTCTCGAGGGCCGATTGGAGAGAATTAAGCGTAGACTGGACTCCACAATTAGTAACATCTTGATCGTTAACCTAAGGCCAGAAAGTTTAATGCACACAGGGAAACAGTAAATTAAGGGATGAATATTTTAGTTCATACAAGCACGATCTAAAATATAATTAAATCAGAACATAGATAAAATATATGAAACATAGTATTTTAAATCCTCATATAAATATATTAATTGCAAATGTACTTCCACCCAATAGATTGCAAGAGACTCGCAGTTTGAGCACTACATATGGCTGATATCTAAATAAATAGATGCCAGGCTAAGAGCATTATTCGAGTCTGAAAACCTCTATTATTACTTGCATTTTGATAATTTGGTTGACAAATGAAATATAAATAAATAAGAACCCCAAAGAAAAAGTTTAAATTGGTAATGGTAAATAAAAAACATAACCTGATCCCCTAAATGTTTTAGGCAGAGGCAAATAAAGGCAATCACTGTGAAAATCAGTAAAAGTGCAAGAGAATCGACGCACCCTTGTCAAAATATCGCCAAATCGAAGTCCGGACTTCTCACCCGATTCAATTCGGCTGCCATCAATTTGATCGTGGACAATAGTTGCCGCTTGTGTTGATGCAGCTTCTTTCCTTTCGCTGGCTCGATGAGCTGGTGAGCCCGGCAGGATATCGAGCACAAAAGTTGGCGTATGGATACCAAGGGGAAGATACTGAAAAGGATCCTCGGTCCTAATTGTTTCTATAGCTCCTGGCTCCGGGCATGAGTTAAGTGGGCTAATGTCTATGAATAAAATTAGTATGAGATGGTTATTAGTGTTTAAACAAATCAACAAACATATATCTCAAAGTCTTGTGGATGTAAGGGTCACAAATTTTGGCTCAGTTAAGTGCTACAACATATGGCTACCAAAGCTAATCAGAGGAAGGAGATCAAATCGCAAAATAGCCTGTATACATAAGAGTAAGGTACAGAGGAGGAATGTGGCATATAAAAAAGAGCATCATGAATTCACAGTGTAATGGAAGAGTGTAAGGGCCAGAGGTAAAATCAAGGAATAAGAATCAGATGGTCTCATCAGGCGGAAAGCGAACTCCGACTCCCTCGCATATTAACACTACATTCTTTTAAATAAATTACTTGACAATGTGTGTTTGTATCAAAAACTAAATGTGTCCTGGAAAATGGCCCAGTTTGACATCAGACAGATTTAATGAGAAAAATAGTGTATTAAAGTCGTAGTGAATAAGTAATAAAGAAAGAAGTATTTTTTGTGGGATAATAAAGCGTTATGGGCTAGATGCGATGCTTTGTAACGAAATTAATCAATCAAGTAAGGAAGGATTGAGATGAGCAACAGCATGGTGAACTATTTTTTACTAAAAATAAAGATGTAAAAGGACAGATGAAGGTATTTGGAGATTTCATCAGCTAATGTCAGCAAAGGAGAATATAGTTCCTACTAGAGTGTTTGGCTGAAAGTATAGCGCAGAAAGTTAGTTACTCCTCTTCAAATAGTGCATACACTTAGATTTTGATAAACAAAGGACCACACCGTATTGAAAAAATTCATATGAAGATTAATTAAACAAGACCTAGATCGATAAGATAAGATAAATACGTAAATACAATTAAAATTTCTGGGTCAATAAATTGTATGCCATTCACTAATTTAATTAAAGACTTGCTTACGCGTTCATAAAGTAGCATTATGAGTGAAATTGTCAAGGGCAAGGTAATTGTGATACAAAAATAGTTAAATAAAGAATCAGTCAACTGGATAATACCACATAAGTTGATTGTGTAAAGGTAAAAAACAATCCTACCAGATAGAGTGATTCCCCAGCTTTGTTCATGTGGCCAACGGGAAATTTCGACTTCACACTCTTTTGACCAAGGAAGCGATGAGTATGCAGACCTTGTGGGCAGGTCAGTCTCTATGACACTGAAAATAATTTAAATATACGACAATATCCGAAAAAAAATTATAGAAAATGTATAGCTCCATAATTGTAATGAGGGTTAAAGAGGTTCTGATACCTATCTGATGATTCCTAAAAAAGTACTTTAATATACCTCTATTAAAAAAATGGAAAAGATGAGGGGAAATGAATAATATACGCAAAATTATATACCCAAAAATAATGTGATTATAGCATGCATAAATCAATATTCATATGGGATGTATTCACTACCTTTCGTAGATTATAAGGTAATTGAATTGTCAAACAATGAAATAAATATACCTTATGTTTCCATTGAATTTCAAATAACCTCGTCTCACATACGTCATTCTCATCTCGACTTGAGTGGAATGCAGTTTCAATATCACCTGAACTGGCCTCATTGGCGAATCGGCGGGAGTCAAACCTTGGTAGTACAGCGTATAAGTTCGAGACATCAAACACTACGCCACATTGTCACGAGTGTCCTTGGGTCACTGGACAGATGTGAATTTTAATGAAGGCCGAGCATTTTCCCACATCAAAGGAAAGTAATATGGAAGAAGCCTGGCCTAACTTAAAATTCACTTCTGCCTCATGACTAGAAGACATTGGTAGCAGTGTGGCGTAGTGATTAACATGACGAGATTATACGCCACATTACGAGAGTTCGAGTCCTGCTAGCGTGCTGATGAGACGCAGTCTAGGTTAAAACTACTATCCATTCCAACCGAGATGATAAAAACTTTTGAGAAGCAGGGTAATGTGAAGCTTAATGAAAACCTAAGGCCTACTCATAGCATTATGAGAAAATTTAACTGTCAGTCCTTATCTAATTGAACGTTATAGAGTAAATTCATCCTATAAATATTATCTAGTTTTAATATCAAAAACGTAATGGTAAATGAAAAATAATTCAACAATTTTCAGAGATGAAATATATTAAGATCAAGATGGTGAGGCCTTTAGTATGGTCGCGGACTTCTTTC